TTAAGCCAGAAGCCCTGAATTCATCTGCTTTACTGTAGAGCATCTCTCTCTTTCATGATTTTCATTTGTACAAAATGGAGAGCATGGCATTCTTATTTTGGTAACAGTAATAAAAATAAATACTTTTTTAAAAAAATACTTTGAATACTATAAAAATTTAGTTTATCAAGTAACTAGCTGATGATATTTTCAAGTTACATAGTGAAGAATTTTGGGAGAGAGCTCTATGCAGAAAGCTTTTCTTCCACATCTTAGTTAATACTTGCTTCCCCTTCTCTATATTTTGCTTTCATCTTCAAAAGCAGTGCTTCAACAAGTAAAGTATCTGTTTAGATGTTAGAGGTACACAGGAAACACAACAAACTTACAGAGAAAAATCATTGTTTTCAGAGAACTAATATTTGGGAGGGAGATGCTGACAAAACAAATGCAAACAGATTACAGAGTATATGCATAGTTGATGCATGCAAAAGGTACAAAAAAGAGATAGGAGAAAAGAAAGTATAGGGAAAGGATATCTCTGTGATGACTAGAACCAGAGAATCCTAAACATGTAGCAGTGAACCTTAAACAAAGTAAGAAGATCTCAGTATTTTAGCTTCACTAAAATGACTTTCGGTGCCAGAGAGAGAGACGAGCATGGTGGCATGTGCCTATAATCCCAGCTCTTGGGAGGCTGTAAACAGGCAGATCACTACAAGTGTGATCTAGTAGTGAGACCCTGAACACCCTGTAAACCCTTCCCTAAAATAAAAAAAAAAGATTACTAAGGATTATACCATAGTATTCAGAGATTATGAAAGCTGGAGAGTTGTTGACTATACTTTTCAGACCTAGATTACTAACAGAATGATATCTTATGGTTGATACTCATATTCCCCTGTGATCTAATCTTAATTTACCTTCTCAATTTTTTATCACTACTCTCTTTCATAAACCAAATTATTGGCTTTGCCTAATTCATGCTAATGAATGAGCTAATTTTGGTTCATGCTGCTTATTCTGCCTCAAATGATTTATCCTCATCCCTTATACTTCAAAATCATAAGTATATAATTTAAAGTATCCTCCCTCTGGAGTCTCCTTCTTTTAGCAATTTTGTGAGACCATGATTTGTATTTTTTTATGTAGATATTTATCTAGCTATTTACCTATCTCTATTTAGCTATCAGTCATCTAAACATTCTTCCTTGAGATACTTGATATTTATTATGGAATGAATGAATAAATAAATGGATTAATTTTTTCTTTAAAAATAAGAAGCTATAAGGTAGAGAATATAGAAATGAGAATACAAAAAACAGTAAAATTAATGTAATTTGAATAGATGTACAATCTGTTTATGGCAAAATATTAAATATAATAATGTAATATAAATGCACCTGTATGAATTTTTCTGGAACCAAAGAGGTTGCCTAGTAGCTCCCCAGGCTGCCAGCATATGCAAGATAAACAGGAACAAGAACTTCTTTTGCAATTTATGAATAATATTTCTGAATTGATATGCCTAAGCTAGCTCATCTGGATGTAGGACTATACTGACCTCTTTAACTTAATACTGGTTGACATGCTGAGGTTGGAACTTGTTTCCTACTTGAGTTCTAAAGATAAGAATGAATGCATTTAATAAGGCTTTTGTGTCCTTGATTAGTGCATGTGGTATTTTGAAATATCCTTGCTTTCCCCAAGATCTGAATAGCAGATGATTTATTTTTCAGATTCCATTCTTTCTAAATATTTTCCACAAGTAAAAGAATGTCCTGAGAGAAGAAATTAAAGTATTTACTTAGGTAAAAGTCCTGGTACCTCAAGAAAAGGCAAGCCCCCAAGATGCAGCAGGCTGTTGGCATGAAGGACAGCGTGGAAGTGTGTAGTTTGGCCTGAGTCAGTAACATGACATTCTTATATCTGATGAGACCAGAGGGAAAAAATAGCTCTTCAGCCCGAGTCAGGTTTGGTTATGAGCAGAAGGTGAAATCAGTACTATTTAAGGTTTCGTTTTATTTATAGCCCTCACTAGTAAGTGTAAGGTTTCCAAGAAAGTAGAAGACATAGTTCCTGGCCAGAAGCTCTTCTATATAATGAATATGATGAAGCTAATGCAAGTTCTTTCAATACATGTGACTGAAACTGGTAACCCAACATATAGAGTATGAAGAACATTAACATGCCTAATTGGGATTCTCATTTTAAAGAAAGTTTCAATTATATATGATATCTGAGATAGGACCTTCAGATGAAGTATTGTGGTTGCATAAACATTTCATTAAACCTTGTGATCAGACAAAGATGAGGAAGGAAATCATGTCTAAAAATTGCTGGAGCAAAAATCAGAAATACCAAAGTGACTGAGGATAGGGAGGTAGAATCTAAAATTGCAGCCCACTCACAGACTGCTCTCAGTAAAGCTACCATAGATGCATCCTTCTCCTGAACTCCTGCTTTCTATCAAGTGCTCATTGCAATCTGTTAGGAATCTTTTTCTGTTACTTTATAATGTAATTGCTCTGTGATTAGATAATAAAAGTTAAGCCTATACATTTTCATAATCACCTTCTCCAGAACACATCCATTATGCAAAGGAGTGAAACCTGTATAGCAATAATGATAATGTTTTATTTTAGGTATATTAAGTGCTTTCATCATATTATCTCATTTTTGTCTGCATAATAAACCTCTGGTAGGTGCTATGTGTTCTAGAGGTGAGGAAAATGGAGAATGGAGTGATATAAAAATATTCTAATATTTAATTTGCAATCCTTTACACTGTCTCTGTCTCTCTGTCTCTGTCTCTGTCTCTCTCTCTCTCTCTCTCTCTCACACACACACACACACACACACACACACACACACGCACATACCAGAGTAATAGAAAAAACAGAAAGCACTGGATATGGTTTAGACTTCTAAATATAAATTCATTTTCTAATCTGGAAAATTATTTGAATGAAGCTTTGGCATCAGTCTGCTAGAAATTTGCATCTTCATACCTTTTAACAGACCTGTGACATTGGGCAAGTTTTTTTACATGTGAAGCCTTATTAAATGGAAACAATATTAACAACAATAATATAGGTACTTTGGAAATAAATAAAAATATGAGTAAGCTACCCAATCCATAGAAAGAAATTAAGAGCTATAAAGTTTTCATTCTTTGTCTTTTCTTGACTAGCAACAACAACAGTGAAAATGAATTAGAATTTCTTGAAAGGAGAAAGTGTTACTTAAAAGATGGACAATAGCTTCTAGTGTTTTTCATGAAATAAGTTTATACCATTTTTCAAAAAAATGATCCTCAACAAAGAACAATTCTTAAGTTATTAACTACTATGTAATACCACCTTTCTTCCTTAGGCTGTGAAGAAAAGGTAAGTCTGTACGTTTCAAGGAAGCATCTCTGTGCTATCAGAAGAGAAAAACATTCCTGAGTCCTCCAGAAAGTATTTCAGTGAAAACATTATGATTGCGTGGAATCATGAGGCCACCTCTGCCTCCAACTCCTTGGCTTCCATAAGAGATGCCTTGTTCTATCCTGAAGTGGCTTTTTTTTTTGGTAAAGTCACTTTTACCTAATTTAATCTGGAAATATTTCTTTTTAAAATAACATATAAGTGCTCCAATATAGAGAAAAATAAAAAATTCTCTTATAACCTTGCAACTTAGCTATCTATGGCTTTATCTTTCAAATGTATGATTGAAAACTTAAGATAGAACAGCATAATATATATTAGAGTAAAATTATCTTTCTCATTAACCTCAAGTACCTTAAATATATCTTGTTTTCTATAGCCTCCCAGAAAAAATTTTTATATATGCTAATATGTATGTCAATTTTATTCCTATAGGAAGCATTATACCATGCAGAATGTCTTATAATCTTTTTAACACTTTGATAGTACTTTTGCATATGTTTATCATAGTTTACTTTAACCGGTCAACTCAATATTTAGTGTATATTATTCCTTAAATAATCAGAATAAATAGTCTTTTTAAACTGTTTACTAGATCTTAATCTAAGATAACTCAAACTTCTGTGTTTATTATATGGTCACAGGATAAAATCATTGTATGTGTAGGTATCTAGTGTGTGTGTGTGTGTGTGTGTGTGTGTGTGTGTGTGTAACACTCACTAGAGAAGATTGCCTTGAACCTTAATTTTACAGTATAAAATTTTCCCTGTATAAAATGTCAGTATGGCCATGGGCAAGTGGATAATATCTCTTTGTGATCCTACGTGAATTGTGCCCTCACACTGAAGTTGGACTACTTCTGTAGAGTTTTAGTGCAGTCACTGATTACAGTGTCTGAGATTTTACTACAATTTCCATTTGAGTTAAGACTGATTTTGTCTTCAAAATAAAAGCCTTTAAAAACAAGGAAAATAATTATTTTTCCCATGGCAGGAAATCTAAATCCTTTCATTTGATCCCATAACATGAAAAAGAAACATAGTTAAAAATCACTAAAAAGTTGATGTAAAAAGAAAATCTCGTTGAGTATTAAAGCTATGGAACTATATTCACACTACCTCCTAGTACCATGAAAAAGAGAGCTAGATGCAAAAGAAAAATTTATACCAAAGTTTATTCTAATTTTAACAAAAAAAAAAGTCATTGAAGTTTGGAGAAACCATTTTGCTAAAGATGTTTTTGGAAAATACTCACCAATATATTTCTAAAAGAAAAAATTTTGGTGGGTTTGCTATGATTGATCCATGTAAAATATGGAGATTGTACAAGTCTAATACAGAAAAGTAAATGTACAAACAAGCCATATTCTAAACTTGAAAGTGTGGCTGCTTTTAATGGTGCAGTGTATCAGGTCAGAAAAAAGTGCCCTCGGCAGATGCAAAATTTTCCAAGTAAAAAAACCTTCATTTAAATTTAAAATACATTAAGTTACACATGATTTCTAAGAAGTAATTGGTTGTTCTAGGTATAACCATTTTTTTCTATTATAATCATATATCAAGTAACTGATTTACCTTACATATTTCCCAGCAGGAGTTTTCTGTGGAAAAGCAGGAAAAGAGAAGTGGAAGAAGAAGGAATCCCTTCATTTCCTGTAATAAGCCCACCAAGTATCACTACTTCTGGTGGGAGTCTGGAAAAAAACTGTCAGAGGACACGTCTGAACTTTGGTGAGAAACAGATTTCATGGGCACCTTGACCCTCAGTTGTTAATATATATGGAGAAAATGATTTAGGAGACTTTGCTCATGTTTATTTCTACCTATGATCCCTCACTTTGTTTTATATTGAATTTGTAGTTAGGTGAAATTTATATTTGAATCATATTTTGTTTGTTAGAACTGGTTTTTTGAAACTATTGTATAATGGGTATTCTTTTTACTTTTTTAAAAATTTATTTATATTCTTATTTTTATTAGTACATATTTTAAGTCTGTAATTATTATGTTCATTGTAGGGAATTACTACATATATAAAGAACATTTTGGCTTCTTTCCCCTTCCTTTCATCTATATCCTCCTTTTATTTTGCTAGCATCAGATTCATTTATTAATTTGGTAAGACCTTTTAAACTTAATTATCATCTACGCAGATTAACAAATAGACTAATAGGCCAAAAACTATATAAACTATGTAAAAAAAAAAATTGTAGTAAGTCAAGGTATACTTTTAGAGACCTTGTCTGTGCTGGTTGCACTGATTAAGGTTGCCCATGTTCCAGTATGTATTCAGAAGACTTGTTCTCATAGCCTTTGTCAGTTCTGCTTGAGTTTCAGAGATGAGATACCACATGCTATCCTGTCAGCATTACAGAAGTGATTTTTCTTTCATTTCCTTCTACTCACTCTGCATTTTCTGTTTGCCTGCCTGTCTGTCTGTCTGTGTCTGTCTGTCTGTCTGTCTCTCTCTCTCCCTGTCTCTGTCTCTCTGTCTCTCTGTCTCTCTGTCTCTCTCTGTCTCTCTGTCTCTCTCTCTCTCTCTCTCTCTCTCTCTCTCTCTCTCTCTCTCTCTCTCTCTCTCTCTCTCTCATGAAAATTCATTTTTCTGTGACATTTAAAGACTGTCTGAGGGGTGTATGGAGCTGTGGCTGACTGTGTATATCAATAGTTTCATAGAATCTGGCCCTCTGTCAATATTTGGGGACCTAGATAACAACTTAAATGCAGAGTCTGCCAGCTATCTTGCTCTTAGTGCCTTTGTAGCAGGTTCTAGTGAGTATATATTAGCATGCCAGATCTTTTCACGACTGTGAACACTTTCTAACTAGTGCATAGGCATCTTACATGTGCTTTCTGCACCCTCCTGTTTGTCTACCTTATTTAAATGTTATCATTTTTCACACTATATACAAAAATGACAATTTTTTTCTGTATTTAGGACAGGGTCTGTGGGGTCTCACCACTAGATCAGACTCGTAGTGATTCTCCTGTTTTCAGCCTCCCAAGTGCTGGGATTACAGGTGCATGCCACCACGCCCAGTCTCAATTGCCCTCTCAATGTGCCCCCCTGGTAGGGCCAGCTAAGCAAGCTGGGAGCCACTGAACTATCAGGCCAGCCCCATGAATGAGAATTTTTAAAAGTATTCTTATAGAAATTGAACAAATGGCATTGTGCAATGTGGATATAGTGAGTTTTGTCGACATCAGGTGATAGTATATTGGCACTTCATTTTAAATATTATATTCTAGGTGATTTTTGCTTGCTTTTTTTAATGTTGTAACAATATTTGAGCCTAACTTGTTGTTGCTGTTTTATGCTAGAAATATACATTTATGAAGCCACTAGGACTTTCTAGATGAAATGTCTTTAGCTTCTGTTTGAGCCTAGTGCAATTGATAATTAGGTCCACATAGAAGAAATATAAAGAAGTTGGATAGTTAAGGTTGTCCCTGAAATAAAAACTACTATTTTCAAACATTTCTCAGTGATCATCTTTGTTATATAAGGGAAATGGGTCATGTGTAAATGGAATCATTACAACAGTATTATATCCCAAGATAATAGCACGTTGGCTTTTCATGGTCTGTCAGGAAGATCCACAGCAGTACATGTTAGTTACGAAGTACTGTTTTTTTTCTCAACCCATGTGCAACTTGGTCTTATTTGGGGATATGAACATATCAAGAATATGAATTTTAAAGACAGGAATGGGAAAATGAGAGCTTAACATGTACCAGTCTTATCTTGGAGATTTGTATCTAATGTAGAGCAAATGTGAAAAATCTTGCCAAATTTTAGGTCCTACTCAGAACAAATAATCCCTGTGTTCACATAGCCAGGAGAATATACTTGTACTCTTAGTACTCCTAGTGCAATCATGAAATGGTTCCCTCCTTGGTCCTGCTGGACCAGCAATTTCTCTTAAGTACAATGGAGTTTAATCTTTCTCAATTTTGGTTTTTAACTCAGTTCAATAACATTTGAGTAGTTGACCTCCATATGGGCTTCTGAAATCTGCTACATATTGTAGAATATTTTAAGGTGGTTTTTGTTGGGACTGAGGGAAGAAATTTCTAATAAGCATTAATGCAATTTCAATACGACAACTGAAGACTAACTCAGGAACTCTAGAGCCTTGTTTTACTCAGAAAGAAATTTACATATTTATAGCCTTGTTATTATGAGTCTTATAGGGCTTAAGGTTCATTTAACCAGCTACAAATGCTGTTTCCTGATAAGAACAATTAGTCATTATCATTGGTAGCATGAAGTCTTTTTGAAAGTATTGTGATGAATCAGGCAGCATGTATGGACAGAGGAGTCAAAAGCACCCATGTACCAGAAAACATTTGGTAATATAAAGGAAAACCCCAAACTTAAACAAGGAATAATAGGTATAAAGATCAATGAAAGCGGAGGTATACATGGATTTATAACAAAGTTTGTATCAAGGAATTTATTATTTTTCTAATTCATGTATAATAGAAGAAATTAACACAGATTTTAATGAATAAAAATACATGGTCTACTGTTTCTATCTATACTTGAATCTGTTGCTGTGGTTTCAGATAGGAAAGTGAAAAACCACACAGTATGCAAAAGCACAAGTTTGCTTATGTCATCATACCTTCAACTCAAGCTACAATAGCAAGGTTCTTCGGTGTCTTCCTTCAGTACCTTAGGAACTGGTCTCTATTTTTGTTAACAAGACTCATGTTGTGCTAAGCATTTATCCTCTTGCTCTGGATTCAGAACTTAATGGGTACATATTATATCTCTCCTTCATTTTACACAGAGGAATACTAGCTCCTAATCTTTTCTGAAGCAAAGGAAGAAACAGGTATGAGATGAGATCATAAAATTAGCCTGCAGAATTTATATTTAATAATAGAAGAATTGGTGTTCCTCTTAGATATACTTTGGAACTATACTTGAATCTGATATATTGAATTTACCTATTTCTTTTCATTAATACCATAATGACAACTTTTCTAAAATGATCAAAATTTGTGTTTGCTTCCTAGAAATCCTAGTAGCTTTAATTATTTCTTCACTAGTATATATTTTGCCTCTTACTCACAAAGTAAAACGAAGAATATGGGAACAATAGGACATAAGTTCTGAGGGTTTCCGTGTGGTTTGACCTCAGCAAGGAAGGCACATGTCACTCTTCTGCCTTGTTTACCTTGTTGGAAAAGAAATAGCTGCCTGACTGCATAAGTAGTACTCAGCAGAACTCTTGGAAGGTGCTTTGAAAGATCTACTTTAACAGAAAGCAAAATCTGCTGATATTACAGAGACAGTCTTTGTTGATGCCACTACAATGCCATAGTGATAGGCATACTTGAATAGAGGTGCACTATTTCACCCTAAAAGGCAATGGAGGGAAGTGGACCACCTAATATCATTATTTTTGTGTTTCTAGTCATGAGCATACCTTTATTCAAAAATCTGCCCCCATATTTAGTGCATTAACTTCTTTATTTAATTTATTGCGATTTCTACCCCTATGCTATGAGAAGTCCACGTGCCAACCTTCAATTCAGAAGAAGTCCAAGCAGGGAATTATTTTAGGAATTCACTTCAAAAGATCTACTTTATAACAGAATTTTTGTTGCATATACTGCAAAATTGGGGCATTTCCCTTTGTCCTTTGGAAGGCATGGGTTTTGGAAATAGCTTTATATGTACCTATAATAAAAGTTCTCTTTCTCCAACAATTAAATAGCATGTGATTTTCAGTTTCTACTGATGTAACACTGGCCTGGAAGATACCTACTTAACCATCAGCTATGAACCCAGTGATTTGAAGTAATGAATACTAAGTCACATAATGGATCCCTAGAAATTATAAGCTGAGAAAAAAATATTCTGGGCATGTACAACACTAAATAAACCTGCTGGGCATGGTGGTTCATGCCTGTGATCCCAGAGCTCCGGGAGGTTGAAGCAGGAGAACTGCGAATTCAATTCCAACATGGGTGACTTCACGACTTAAAGAGACTTTTTCTCAAAATTTTAAAAAGGGGGTTGAGGGAGGAGTGTATTAGAATATAGATCAGTGTAAAGTCTCTAGGTTGAATATCCAGTATCCCAAAGCAAAGAAAAAAAGTCAACCTGACAGAAAATAATATAGAAGAAATACTGGATAATATATCACAATACATAACACATTGTACTAAATAGTAAAATTTCTTAGTTAACAAATTTAATATATAATCTACTTATTAATATTATTCCATTTATATTAAATATAATTTTAAAATAACAACATAGAAATTAAGGCTCTTGTGTAAATGCTGTATTGTAACTGAATGCCCCCAGAAGGTTGCTAACGTGCACTTCCACACTTACTTTTATTGTATCTTCTTTGACAAAAGGAAGCTTACTATTTGGAAAATTGTACCTCAGTACAGCTATATCACTACTTCTGCATTTCAAGTAAAACCATGGATGTTTATCTCCTATTCTCTCAAATATCCAGGGAGAGTCCTGTTAAAGCTGATTTGGAAAACTTTTTTGATACCAACACATGATGTTTTCATCTTTTTTGGCTAAATAAGAGCTCTTCTAGACTAAAGCAAAACTAAGGCTCTGATCTAACTTCATTATCTAGCCGTAATATAATGTTGCCTTAAAAGATAACGACTTCCCTTCCTTTGTGCAAAGCACTTCAGATTGCTCACAAAATGACGAGTAGGGTATCAGAATAAATTTGGAGAAGTATACA